GTTTATAGATGTTGGAGATCTGCCTGTTTTTCCAGTGTAGTCCTTTTTCTCTGACTGTGACTGGCTGGATGTGCTCTCTTCTTTGCTAAAGATTTATGATCATAACATTACCTTAAAATTCGTAATAACTTTTCCAGATATTTTACATCTTTGCATTTTGCAATGAAATCATAGTCCAGGTGCTCCACGGGGACCTTGGTACTGAAGTCAGTGTTTGGAAGAGAGAAACCTGCGTCAGCATTCATGGCTGAGAGAGAAGAGAAGGAAAAAAAACAGCTACTCAGTTTTTATGTGGAAACTATAACAACAACATAACACAAGCTAAAGTAAGGACTGTAACTCAACTAGCTTATTATATCTGGAATAATGAAGACATTAAACACACAAATAAGACAATTTTTTGTACAGAAAATTGTTTAATAGAGGAATATTACTTGTAAGCCAAGTACTAAATCCAAATGGTCATCTACTGTCTTATTCTGACTTCTGTTACTTCTCCAATTTCCTTTTACTCCTAAAGAATATGCTTTTGACTTTGACACAATCCCCAGTGGGTCATTAAAGCTTTTTATCATCTTTACCTACATGTCAAATTCACTCAATGCCAAGTTTTGATCAAAAATCCATGTATATAGATTATTATTGTCCTTTTATAAGTATGAGAAAACAACCAAGATGTTGTTTTTTCAACAGCTTGTATATTTTACTGGTCCAGCATTTTTGAAAATATAAATTGAAGGGGATTTGGTTGATCCTTAAAAAATATTTAATAAACAAATAAGTAAGAGAAGCTTCTTAAAAAGTTATTCATAATGTTTATCCTGTTAAAATATTTTGATAAAAGGATATAAATGGGATTTGGACACAATGTCTACTTTTTGTAAAAATAATGAAGAAAAGCTTATTCATCTTTTTTGGAATTGTAATTATACCAAAAATATTCTGGAGATATGTCAATTTTTTTTTTCATAAAATAAATCTCAATATTACTCTAACGAATAAAGATGTTTTGTTTGGGATGGAGAAATGTGAACTTGTCAAAACTGAATTTTTATATGTTGTTAACTTTTTTATTAGTTATGCTAAATATCATATTCACACCTCCAAATATTTACAACAAAAAACAAATTTCCAGATTTTATTATCTTCTATTAATATCTA